CACAAACGTTAGTGTATTCCGCCGGCCGCAATGACCGAATCTCTAAACCCGTCGTAATTGAATGTCCACCGTGCCTTCTCTTATACCATTGCAAAATGTCTAATCCAGCCGTATTAAAACGCCTGTCTGTCGTCCCGAATTACGTCGCATAATTACCATATTTTATCGGGAAAGTTTAGAGATAATGCAACATTAAATAACAGGATTTGTAATGGGAAAAAATTCAATTTACCTTTGTACAATTATTGACTAATTTTCTCGTTTGTTTGGAAATTATATACAAATTATTACGACAAAATTTACAATGCATATATTTATGTGCATGTACTAATGTACATGTATATAGATGTGCATGTGTAAATGTGTATGTCATATGCCTTTATTAAAGTTCAATGCAAATTATGAGTAAAATCTTTATAAATGCATTAAGCATTTCTTTTTCAATAGCGAAATGAATCTTGATCGGGTTAATGGTCGTTTATTGAACTTTAAGTACCTGATCGATCGATGTCTAACTATGTAACGAATCGGTCGAGACTTGTTGCTCTGAAATCTATCCAAGCACGATTGCCCGTTCAATCGATCATTGCATTCGTAAACGAAACGAATAAATTGTTTGAGAATTATTTTGGATATTTACGTATTTCCAAGTACTGTTTATTAAAAGTGTCTATATAATATAATTTACAATAGAGTCTATAATATTATACAATAGAGTCTATAATATTTATTTGACATATATCGCGCACACTATAATTTAATTACATGTCTCTTTTGTGAAAAAATCAAAGGTGTAGAGTCAAATGTAAAAGAGTAAAAGACATTTCATGTTACTCGCTTATTTCAACAATATAATTTTAGTTAACAATACACGGAAGATTGCGATTGATTTTCTACAAAAACAGTTTTGATACACAAGAGGGATGAAGAAAAAAAAACTCCATGTACTAGCGCCTCTGTTCAATCCAGAGAGAATGGAAATCCCTCGTTTCGTCGATTCGCGTTTCTATTTTCGCCAGCATTTGTTCATCCGTGTGAATGCGTGTGCCTATCGGTATCGACAACACGGGGAGGCATAAATATCGACGAGAGAACGGCGAAAGAAGTCGAACGCGGCAAACGCGGTCGCGACGTTCGTCATAAAATATAAAGACTATACTCTTCGGCGCATAGAAATAGGGCCGGTAATGCAAGACATAAGAAAATTAAAAGGTTACAAACCGACAAATTGTCTTGTGTTCTCGAAGTAAAGCACATATACGCGATCGCGAAAAGTTCTGAAGGTAGGAAACGAGGAAGCGAACTAGTATATAGTGAATCTATTTTAAAAGATCCACATTTCTATTTTTTTTTTTTTTAACATTATAAGATTTAATGAGATGCTTAATGAGGAATTTCCTGTGCATTTATTCGGCGATTCGATCATAACAATGTGCTCTTGATTTCCTCAGCCTTCGATATCTTTTTCTCGATTGTTCTTGTCGAAGGAGATACGATCGTACCGGATATTAACTGAATTCTCTCCATTGATCTCTCTGCATTTCAAGGGTTACACGTGCGATAAAAGGCTTGAATCGTGCAAATGGAAATTTGAAATGCAAAGAAAATTCGCAGCAAGGTATCTTCATGTATATATATATATATATATATATATATATATATATCATGCTTATATAAGACGCCGCGATATAAAAAAGCCCATTCGCTTTTATTTTTTTTATTTAATCAATTTTAAATCATCATGTAATGAATGCAAAATTAAAATTCTTCCTTGAATTAGAATAAAAGAAGAATGATCACACACTTGTGTAGGAACATTAAATATATATAATTACATGACAAGATATGTAAAAAATTATTTAAAAAATTACATTAAAGAAAAAAAGAAAAATATGACAATTTTCAAAAGTGGCAGAATTATCACTCGTGTAATTAAAGCGTAAACCAATGTCTAATTTAGATATCTCGTCCCGAGTCGTTCTTTCCATCGGTTTTCTCTATTCCATCGTTAATCTTGACCTATTAATTAGATGAAATTGGAACTGACAAGCAAACGAAGGAAACGGGAGAAATATATTGTATCTGTCCCTCACGGAAACTTTCTTCTTTCTTCCGCTGAGAATTAAACAATCGATTCTTGCGTTCAGTTGGAGTTGATTTCGGAGCGAATTTGCAAAAAGAAAGTTTAATATCGATGTCGGTGTAAATAGCCGTCTCTCGCTAACATACCGTTATCGGAGTTGGATAATAATACTTGTGCCGCCCACATCATCTCCATGCAGCAATCACTCATTTAATATCCATTCAGGAAGGACATAATCCCTGTATACCGTTGACAAAAAGACAGTCGTGAAACCATCTGTTTTAGACTACAGTGGTTTTACAACTGCACAATGCAGTAGAACCTGTAGTCCTACAAAATATGTCTTTGCCAACTGCCGTAAAGATTCTCGGAAGCAAAACTTGACTTAAACAAAAAGACATTAAACTAAAACAGAGATGCATGATATGACTGTGAACAAATAAAAAAAGCACGTAAATTTCTTAATTCCTGAAACAACGATTTATTTGCCATTTTTCTAAATTTAATCAGTATTAAAATTAATGTGCCGTGTTGTGTTGCAAACCATCCGTAACAATTAAATAATTATTGATAAATATTGAGATTGAATTATACAATTTAATATTTTTGAACGTATTTTCTATTTTAACTTTTTTGCTTATTGAACGCCGCGGGAAAATAAGTTATGACATTTATGCCGACATTTAATTTTTTGAATGCGCAAAATTCACTCAACAGTCATAATTCACTTAATACGCATAATAATTTATTATACGCAAAGATTGCGCTCGCGCGTCGCGTTCGTTGGAATTCTGACCTAGATGTGATTTTGCACATTATTACACTCATTAGAGGGACAAGAAGTTATGATTTATTTGTCACGATAATCCAACGAACTTGGTGTTTCTCGGCTACGTATATGTCGGCCAGATTCGCGTAATTGTTGTACTCCGCTCTAATGAACGACAGGGTTCAGGTTAGGTGTATTTACTTTAGAGTATTGACGAGGTTCGTATGTGCCAACAAAGACGGCGAATTCTCCTCAAGGTTGTTCTTCGGGTCTCACGATGAGATCCGGTGCGCTCTGTGCGGTCTAATATAAATGTTTGGTTGAACGCTAGGATTCTCTCCCAGCTGGACAAAGTAACTCGTTAGATAAATATTGTCCCCTCTCCTCTTTTTCCTTCCTCTCTGCTAAAAGCTTCGGTAAATTGTCCCTTCCTTGCACATATATAGAAATACGTAGGGGATTCAACTTTTTCATCGATATAAAAAACCAATTTTTTTAGAATATTCGTTTTCCTCTTTGAACACAACACTAGCTTGTTAATCCGAAATGGTTCAATGATTCCAAACTTCCAAATGTGGACGCAACAAATATAAACATTTTTCTCAATTATTAAATTAAGTTAGAGAATTTATTTTATATAAATAAAAATCTACAAACTCAAATAGTTTATTGGTAGTATGTATATTTTTTTAGAATGGAGAAAAATAACACTTAATATTTAAATGTTAATATTTTTAGATTTTATATTAATTTTTTTTTCGTTTATATATATAATATTTTTTAACTATTTATTTTTTTATTTAGGAATATTTTCTCGAATTACTACTTATTTAAAACTAATTTTCGAGAAAAGTGACAGATTCGTGAATGCTATGCAAAAATAAATTAAGAAATCAAATATTTTATAAGAGAAAAAAAATTGCGCACAGTTGTCTGCCAATATTTCTAAACGAAACTATTTTGGTGGAAATTCCTGCTAGTTAGTTCCCATATATAAATGTGGCCTTGGCTCTGCTCGTGAATCCGGCAACAGCTGCAAGCAATCCATGAGTTTGTATACACGCGTTTTCGCTCGAAATTTCAGTCTCTCGAAGATGAGGCCGTTGTCGCGGGAAATAAAGTCATATTAGCGAAGGTAACGCGGCCAATCGAATCGGCCAAGTTTAAAAAGAATCGACATTTTAGAGATGCTTTCTAGATCGTCTGGTCACTCGAGAAAATCTCAAGTTTGCCGGTGCTGGCGAATGAATACAAACGATCCGTGAAGTTTCTTCAAAGGAATTTGCAGCTGGCGAAGGTGGTGAATGTAGATACTTGTGGCTTGCAAAACTGAACATAGAACAACGTCAGGGGTGCTATTCCAAACACGGCTACCGACCAGCTGTTGGCCCGGTGAATTTCATTGCGCACGTATTTCGACATATCAAAAAATATGCGCAACAACATTTATCGAACCGACAGATATCGGTAGTCGTGCATAGAATAGCGCCCCAGAGCTCGAAAGCGTGTTTGCGTTTTGCGTGCTCCATTATTCCAGCTGGAGAGAAATTGTAAATACAAGGTGTCTCTTGAGATACATGTTTGTGTGTCAGGTTCTGGGAATATATTACACAAATCATTTTTTCCATGGTAAAAAAGTTATATAACAATAATGTTTGCACGAAAGATATGAAAGAGTATGACAAGTTTTAATGCAATTTTATTTATTCTGATTATAGATGTATACAAAATATATTAGTTTTTATATTAGTACTTTGAATAACTTAAAAAAAAAAACAAAATATACATAATTTAAAAAATAAATAATAATATATTTCTTTTCATAATATTTCATCTTTTTCCAAGGCATCATTTTAGTAGTCTTATTTTGTTACACAATTTTTTAAATGTAAAAAAATTTAAAGATGAAAGAGGTGAAAAATCAAGAACATACGTTTTCAACATGATGAAAGAGAAAAGTGTGAAATATAAAAAGAGCGTAGCGCTGGTTTTTAAGTTTATACTATTTTATAGCACGTAATGAAAGATACGCAGACACGATATGGTATCTATGTAATTGGCTATACTTCGTGACATGCCGTCCGTCGCACTCTCTTAATTACACAAGTGGTCTGTGTACTAATTACGTATACGACATTCTTGTTCTAGGTGAGGCGAGGACGTGAGGTTTGATCCGATGAATGGAGCCGAGCTCTGACAAAGGTATTGTCTAGAAATAATTTCGAGCAAATGAATATAAAAAAATGGACGCGATTAATTCTCGTCATGCAAATGCGTCCGTAATGCGAAAAATCTTGCAAGCTCTCATTCTTCTCGGACAATATTCTTTTCAGAACTCTTTACTCACGATACGAGGAGTGAGCGTAATATTTTTTATTCACGCTTTACCTCTGTGAAATTGTTTTGATGATACAAAGAAATGATTAGATATGTACATACACAGCGAAAGAATGATGATATTTAATAGAAATTATAAATTTCTTTTATAAAAAAGCTTCTTTCTCTTTAATACCAAATTCTAAAGAAAACTAAATCATGCTTTATTTGAATATAAAATATTAATCATATACAATATATTAAAATTTAATAATATGAACATATTAAATTTATAAATATTAAATATTAAATTTTATAAACACGAAAAAAAATGGTAAATGAAAAATATTTTCCCGAATAATTATATTGCTTACATGCCCTATACTATAATACTTGAAGTTTGCATTTTATGAAAAATGCGATGCTGTATAAAGGTTCACGACATTGAGCTTAATATCGTGTCTCGAGAGGGATTAAGGCAATCTCTGCGGGATTTTCTCAGAGATTCACGAATCACCGATGGACCCAGGAATTCCATCGAATCGCTTTTCAAAGTTATTGCCGCACATGTATCGATTTCTGCCGGCGAGCGGACCGAAATTATTTTGCCGCTTGAATTAATTTGTCCGATTTACTAGAATTCCGGAGATTTGTTCGAACTTCGTTGTTAAATGTCACTCGCAACGATCATCGATAAATCTTAATTTATCGAGTTATTGTGCATCTGCAGCAAAAACCTATTTATAGAGACAAATATATTTAAAATCTCTCTTGGATTTATGCAAATCTTTACCAAATCATTAAAGAGTATGGATCTGGAAAGTGATTCAAATTTTTTCAATATCACCGGATTTAGGACTCATAGTTTTTATGCGTATTTTTCTATATTTTTTATAACTTAGAGATTTAGAAACTTTGTTTTTATTTAAAAGTGTTTCGTATGTTTTCTCTTTCTCTATGTATATACGAAAACAATTGAACATTCTATAGAACTGTAACAACAATGAGTTAATAAGTTTGAGAATGTTAAAGTACATATGTGTGACATGTTCATACATTAGATTTGCAATGTAGATTCGGGATAGACTTTTGGGAATGCATTATGTCATATAATATATGCGGGTTTCACAAATTCAATCGTTTGTCTCGCAACACTCATGTAAACACACACACACACACATACACATATCCTCTAAGAACTCTTGATGCGTTCTAAGCTCCATGTATTGCAACGATATTTACCGACTTACACGCGAAGTACCCATCCACGGCGTTCCTTGGTCACGGTAAATTTCCAGCTTGCTCTTGCTTCCGCCATCGCGAAGGAGCGGAAGAAACTTCCCTCTTCTACCCTCCTCGTAACCCCTTGCCTGTTTCCTCATCCGTTCGTAATGCAGCATCTTCTCGAGAGTGCAGAGAAACACGAGACACGCGGAAATATGAGCTCGGCACGTGAAATTAATGCGAAATTCGTTCTGAAGGAAATAGGATGAAGCGAAACGAGAAGGGAGAATATAAAGAGATGACTGTGTGAGATGTATAACGATAAAAGATAGTTTGCACAGAGAGACATTTCATATCTGAAGTTGCGTCCTCTCTCAGTTTTACGAATGTTTGCTCGCGCTTTTTCGTCGGCAAGACGATCGAGGGGATGCGAATTTCGCCTACTGCGACAGCGACAAAGGTGAGCAAACGTTTGGAAAGCGCAAAAGTCTCTCGAGGACGACGCGTTTCGCATCAAAATGGTGCCAGCGAACAAAAGAAACGGCCGGAGGTTACGGAATTAGATTCAAGCGAAACTTTATTCCTGCTTCGACCGAGAAAGAGAAAATTCGAGATTGACCCCGCTTGACCATTCATTTGCGTCACACTTTAAGAGCTCTTCTTTTCGTCTGTCGATCTAATCGTTTCCAGTCTAGCATTTATTCCGATTGGCATCGAGATCGTGCGCTTTCTCAATATAAATCTCCGATGTCCTTTCTTTCTTCGAGCAGCGTTTACCTTATCTATTGAATATTAGCACGAAATATAGGAACATTTTTTCCGATTTTTCTTCCTTTGAAAAATTGAATTAATTGAGATTAGCTCGTGTGTGTCAATTTAGAGAAGAATGGTGGAATGATTAAAATTGATAAAAATACCCTGGATAAGAATACCCGTATGTAGAAAGTGTGTTCATAAAATTTTTAATAGAGTTCTAGAAACCATTCGAATACTCGTAAAAGCACTTGATGCCACTGAAAGCTTCTCTCATGATATTCCATGTACCTACCACGTTACGATTTAAGTTCCACGTTTTTAACGTGGCCGGAATAGATTTCAACGCGCGTCGTCTTACTTTGCCACTTTACAAAAGTAAAATATCTACTTTTAGGGAAAAAAGAATTTAAACTAAAAATTTCGTTACCTTTCCACTTTTAAATTTCACGAGAGGTATTTATTTTCAATTTCTGGCAACTACGAAACTATCGATATTGAAATGTAATTCCAAGTTATATGATATTATTTAACATCCGATGTTGTGTAAAAAAATTTATTTTTTTTATTTTGATCTGGAGCAGGTATATGCATTACAATTATAACACATATAACTTTTTCATTTATTTTTATGATAAATTTATTTTTTCTTTATTTTTTTAATGTTTTATATATATATGTGTAATATATTTATTTTTGTCCAAATATTAGAACTTCGTAATACATATATTTCATTAATTTATTTCTTAAATTTCTTAAATTTAAACAATTATAAATATTATATACACTTTGCCTAATACTTTCCATCAATGTTTACCAGTATATTTTCGAGATAAAAATCGCCATGTCAAAATAATTGTTTTATTGTATACAATTTTTTCCACGCAATTTTTTTTCTACACATCATTAATTCTCAAATATTTTGAGTTGGATTTATATCTGGTGACACTCTAGATGTTTCGATGTAATTTTCTTCCTTCCATTAGGAACAAAGAGTCCGCTGTTTTGGGTCATTATCTTCTTGAAGGACAGTCCTCACAATAACTAACAATAACCCTCTGTATAATGCTTTGTAGACGAAGAATCCTTCTATCTACTCGTTCAAAAGTATTCGATGTAACGTTTTCAAACAGAAGTTTGCGCAGTCCTTATTAGACAGATTGTATACATTAGACAGAGAGAGAGAGAGAGAGAGAGAGAGAGAGAGGGAGAGAGACATATTCTCTTTGTGTATTGGTGTGAGAATGGAATAATAAAGAAGTCAAGGCTTTTTAAAAATGAAGGAAAATAAAAGAGGAAACGAACAAGAAAAGAAAGTAAGATATCTACTGTGTTTTAAAAATTTAACTTTCTTAACATGCTCTCGAAATGTTTTTGTTTAAACAAATCGAATGCTGCAGAGATTCTACCGTTCCTTAATTTTATATACGATTTATTTCCGCCCAAAACTCCACAGTATTTAGCGTACGACGCGAACCGACTTGGAATCAAGGAATTGCATTCATTAGCATTTCTAAATAACCATAAACTTTGCTCATTTTGTACTTACTCGTACATTCGTAATCTTTGAAATAGACGATTTAATCAAATCGTTAAAAAGAGATGTAATTAAATAAAATACTTTATATATCGAAATAATATAACAACTTATTTTAAATTATAAGTAAGATAATTGTTAGCAAGTAGGTAAAGTCTCTTAAGTAAACTCCATTTCTATTACGATGAAAGTTTATACAACTAACAATAAGTATCAATTCAAGAATTCGAGAGTACTCATGGATCGATCTTACCACGTTTTTTCATTTCTCGTTTATATCTCTATTTAGATTTCTATTTATATTCGTTTATATCCTCTGTTGACGTTCTCGCATTTTTTTCTTCCACGTATACTTTTTTAGTTTTTCCTTTTAATAATATACAAAAGACGCGTCTATATGAATTGTTATCTTTATTGGCGACATAGCAATCACTTCGAACGCATTTACGTTGAAAAATAATTGATATGATAAATCTAATTAATTATTGATTATTGCACAGTTGTTCTTTACAAATTCTAATATTTAATAATAAATTTTTTAGTTGTATATTAGTCTAAATAATTCAGAATAAACTGACTAAACTTCTATATAATATAAAGAGAATAAACTAATATTGAAAATGTTTTTTTTTGAAAAAAATTGAATGGCAAATAGACGCCAATATGATCTCGTATATTTTTCTATCACAGAAAAGTGTGCAGAATAAAATGATTTAAATTCTTACAGTATATAAAACACACATGATCACATATATAGTTCTGTTATAACGAGTTTCTCAATCGTAAATATTCTTTATTTAATTTTATTCACATATTGAAAATCGCTTGCTTATCTAGATATATCTATATATGTTCAATATTTATTATTATATTACGAATGTTTTTTTATATATGTTATGTCAGTGAGATGCAAATTTCTTCAAGACAAAACAATTTAGAAGAGTTAATGCAAGAATTGTGAATTATCATACTATCTTTTTAGCTTTTTATTTTTGATGCATTGTTAATTAATTATACATGTGCACACATAAACACATAGATACACCCTACACATATATATGTAAAAAAAGTTTCGATCGAAATTGATCAGAAACTGCAGATTGACATTAAATATGCCGGTCAATAAAAAAGCCTCATATGCACATGTAAATCGAAGAACGGACAGAAAAAGATTTGAGTCTGCTATTATTCTATATTTGTTTTTGCAGTGCGTTTAAAACGAGATTTTCTTCGAAATCACCGATTTATCCGCAGTAGCTTCGTGAAAGCAAAAGCGCACCGAGCTTTTTGAAAAACTCCCTTGAGGAGTCCGATTGCACCGTGGAAACGCGCAAGTTTACAGTTTCTCCCTGAGTTCTTGGGATGTTTTTTT